TATAAAGAGAGAGAGAGAGAGAGAGAGAGAGAGAGAGAGAGAGAGAGAGAGAGAGAGAGAGAGAGAGATAGGACAGGAAGAGAGAAAGAAAAGACGCAGAGGGAATGAAACTAGGAGAATGAGAAAAAGATCAGAGACAAAAGGAGAGGGAAAAGGGGGAGAAAGAGAAAGAGAGAGAAAAGACATAGACAGAAGGAGAAGAGGTTAGAGAGAGAGGACATAGGAATAGAGAGAAAGAAAAAACAGAGAAGAAAGAGAGAAGAGGAAGAAAAGAAACACAAAAACAAACTGATAGAGAGAGAGAGAATGAATACATAGAAAGAAAAAAGGCAAAAACAGGAAAAGAGACAGAGACAGAAAAATAAAGAGAGAGAGAGAGAGAGAGACAGAGAGAGAGATTCGCCACTCGAAAAAAATAATATATAAAACGATTTTTGTTTTTTTACATATCAACGACCCATAACGACGAATCTTTTACTATTATTATTATTATTATTATAATTAATAATTAAAAAGTTTTTTTTTTTTTTTTTCAATAAAAAACGAAATTTTTTTTCATCAATGAAACCTAAACGTCGGTTAATAATAATAATAATAATAATAATAATAATAATAATTTTTTTGAAAAAAAATAAAATTCAACGATCGTCGTAAACGTTCATGACTCGACAATGACATTGCGCATTGCCATTTTTTAATTTTTTTTTATATTTTTTTATTCTCAATAATAATCCCACTTTTGAAAAAAAAAAAACGCATTCATTCATTCATTCATTCATTCATTCACTCATTCACGATCATTCATTGTGTGTGCCTTTTCATTTTTTCCTTTCTCTCTCTCTTTCTCTCTTATATTTTCGAGTACGTAACATAAACTTTTACTTAACAAAACAAAAAAAAAAAATTCCTCTCGGCTCCATTTTGTTTTTTTTTTTTTTTTCAATTCGATATTGTTAAAAAAAAAATTTATTATTATTATTATTATTATTATTATTATTATTATTATTATTTATTTATTTATAAAAGACGGACGGTTTCGTTTTGTAAGAGAAAAAAAAATAATGTCTCACGACTTAACAATTTAAATCTTAAACCCTCAATTATTTATTAAATGTCGACGACGACGACGATGATGACGATATTATAATAATACTCCGACAAAAATTTACAAAAAATTTTCTTTTAACTAAGAGGGGTGGAGGGGAGGGTGGGGGGGAGTGGTTTGAGGGGGAAACAAGTGTTAAGAAAAAAGTTATGAAAAAAAAAAAAATTATAAAAACAGTGTCAAACAAACGTCCTACCCCGAAAGAAAAAGGGGTGACTGTGTTTGTGTTAAATGCTTCCAAAAAAACGGAAATCGTTTGCTGGACCTCCCGCCCAACCGCACTGCCCTTTAAATTAACCCCATTTTTTATAAAGTTTTAGAAAAAAATAATAATAATGATAATGATAATTGATTCGAAAATTTATATTTTTTCAACTGGGCATTTAATCAAAAACCTTCGTCAAAAAAAAAAAAAAAAAAAAAAAAAAATTAATTTCAATGACGAGAAAAACTGGCCCCCCGCCATTTTTATTTTTATTAAATTTGATTTTCGTTTCCTTTTCCGCTCATCCCTCCCTCTCCCCACTTCGTTTTTATTTACGCACTCACGCACAAATCCTGCTGCGAACGAATTAAAAAATATATATTTAAGGTTCCATAAAAAAAAAAAACAAGTTTTTTTTTTACGCGCATTTAACTACCGCTCATGGAAATTATGAAAATGGCAAATTTGTTGTTTTTTTTTAATGGTCTTGAACGTGTTCGGCCTTAATCAAATTTACGATAATATTATTATTATTATTATTAATGGTTTATATTAAATGTCATCCATGTGTTTTCGGTGATCGTTATTATTATTATTATTGTATATTTTTACATCATCCACGTTTAAAATTTTTTTCTTTACCAGCGTTTCAATTGATTAAAATCGATACAGATCGATTAAATTTATTTATTGATTTGCGTCGTGATAATAATAATAATAATAATGAAAAGAAATTAATTAATTAATTTGATTTTCGTTTCAGTCTATAACGGAAGTATTTAGAGGAACATCGGATTCGGATTTACAAGAATGGAGTGCGGCCTTTTTGGATGTCAAACCTCAAGTCATCTTACACGATCGTTTGATGACGGATGCTGCATTGGGCACTGTACCAATAAAAACGGAACATTCCTACAGTTTAAATTCAGATGGAGATTCGAGTCCGGATTCTCCGATAAGTTTAGATCGAATCGACGGTGAGTTTTTACCTTTTTTTTTTTATTCATTAACAAAACAACTCATTTACTTTTACGAGAATGTCGTCTCATTAATTTAAAAAGCAACGAATTTTAGTTTTTTAATAAAAAAAAAAAAAAAAAAAAATGGCGACGCGATATCATATTAACGGTACAAGAAACAAAAAAAATTAAAATTTTCCAGTCAAGCCATCATCTTAAAATGTCCAAAAT